ACCACCAACGCTTCGTTCGATGCTTCGTTCGTTGTTCAAAGTGAGTTTTCTTTTGACGTTAAAAATTTTATTAGAATTATGTACAGAAAATCCGTTGGATTTAAAAAGATTTTCCATCTTCATTTGGTTACTTACTCCTTTTTCGTTTATCACAGCTACATTAAAGGCTTCTAAGGGAAGCAGCGTACATATAAATAAGTTTTTTTTGAATCTCGCTATTTTTTTATGTTATTTTTGAATATATCTTTTATCCATTCATCTTCTCCGGCGGATATGTCACAATTTTTGCCCTTTTGACTTAGGCGCGTCAAAATTGTTCCAAGGACTCTCTAACTTTTTAAAAAATATTAGTGCCTCTCAAATCTGACATTCAATTTTTTAGATGATTATTAAGCCGTAGATGATTATTCTCAAAACAGGTGTAGGTAATCTTGTGAACTTCTATCCGAAATTTTTCTTTTCGTTTCCGAGGGCGATATATAGAATTGAGCGAAGCTTCTTATTTGCTTCATTGAAACTCTTTCCGTTGAAACCATTTGTATCGGTCTTGATCGATGCCGTTTCTTTGTCGTCGAATTTCTTTTGTTCTCGGTTGTTTGTTTCAAGTCGTGCGGTTTTCTGGGTTTCTGATTTGCTATCCGTCGGATTATCGAATACAAAAGGTTGTGGGCGTTGTCTTTCACTCGAACCAAGTAGATTTTCCTTATTAACATTCTCCTTACTGATCACTGCGATGTGAAAAAGATCGCCCCGCTTGTCCCACGGAATTAGCGGATCAACCGTATGCTTTTTTAAATAGCAGGTAATCCTCTCACATTAGGTTCGATGCTGTTCGACTGCGCCATGATAAAATGTTACTTTGTTGAGCTAACTCTGTCTGTTCCGATTCAAAAGGATAAAAGATGATAAGTGAATTACTCTCAGAAGGAGAGAGTCTTTTCTATGTCTGAGAGACTGGACGTATCAACGTCAGCAATAAAAAGACCTCTTCAATTCAAATAATTAGCAGTAAATACTGAATCACAACAATTCCTAGAAAATGTTCACTTTTGCTCGCTTTCTTTGCTTTTTTTACTGCCGGTAATTCCTAAACTTGAAATTTGATTTTTGGAAGTAGTAGAAGCGGGTAATCAACAAGACTGGTATTATAAGGTCGATTCTTTAAGAATTCCCTCTGTCTTTGACAACAAATTTGTTTTTGATAACAGATTATGATAAAACTTGTAAAAAAAAATGAGAAGTGTTTCCCCCGCCAGCATGCGCGATTTTAAATTCTCGTGAGTGCTTCTGCTCACCATAATGACATCTATGTTTATGAAAAACGATGAGATTTTTCTAATTCTATGATGAAATCATCATGTATCAAAATCCGCGCTAAAACATCAGCTGAGGTCATGCCCTTGGTTTGAAACGTTTAATGATTTGAATGTTGAATCTAAGCTCGCAAAAGCGTTAATTTGTAGACTCACTAACCTTAATTTGCTGTTTTATTAGCATCATTAACACTTGTAGGTGCTCAAAGTATCAAAGATAATGTGCATCAACTCATTGTCAACTGTTTTTTTTTCAAAAGCGATATAAATTTTTTTATTGGAACATCCGGCCCGAACTACCCTAGAGTTTATCCGTGATGAAGTGTTGTTTCCTTCCTTTCTTTATTTCTTGCTTTCTTTCTTTCCATCAAGCAATTAGGTTTGGAAGAACTGAAAACTGAAGATTGATAACCTTATGCAAAGTTCGAATCCGAAACATTTAACATTCCGGTGAAACAAAATTTTTCAACGGCACATTTTAGTTGCGTTTTAAAGAAATGTAGTTTTAACAGATAAAATGAAATTTTGATCACAAGTTTGATCTAAGCATTGCAAAATTAGCTTGAGCTTTTACTGATATTTTCAAAAATACATCTACGTTGTCTTAAAAAAACTAAAAGAATGCCCGTATAAAAACGGAGACCTGATCTCAAGGCAATTTAAAAAGGTACATATACAAAACATTCCCATACAAAACAGTCCGAAACATCAAAAAAAAGGTTTTAAAAAACAGTCCCATACAAAACAGTCCAAAACCAGTTGAATTTCTTGACCTTGATCTTTTGGCGCTGACAAAATTGATCTACGCTTTGAAACCTCAAACAGGGGCAATTAAAAATCAAAGAGCCAAAGTTGGAACAATAATTTGGATGAAAATCAAAGGACTTATGGTATAGTGGTTAAAGCGTTAGTCTCAAACTCTAGAGATAAAAAGATCTAATCTCCGGAGGCACAAAAAATTTTCCAATTTTCCGAAAAAGTTGAAATTCGGGTAAATATGATAACGGGTATATCTAGGGTACAAAAAAGGGTTCAACCTTAGAAGGTTGGGCGGGGGAAAAGAAAAATCAACACCTTGTATGTAATCATTATTTTGCCGGTACCAAATCGACTCTAGCTCAATTTTGAAAAAAATCAAGAAAATTAATTAACTTGGAAAAGTTGCGAGAAGCATTCGAATAAGTTCGCGAAAATTAAGGTCACTGTTGTAATTGTGAGTATTGCCTGACGACTGAACATGTCTCCAGGAACTTTGACTCATTTGGAAAAAAAAACAAAACTGAATTTGAGCACTCTAATGGGTAGCTAATATTGATTTTCGCACAGCTACTTCAAAATCAATCGTGACGCGTTTTGGGGAATCAACTTTTAGAATACTGAGAAGGTGACAATAAGTTGATTCCTTTTTGTCGGGTAGCAGAGCGTAAACAATAGGTATAAGGCATCCTTCAGCAGAAGCGTGTATAGTATAAATCTGATAGAAAACAGTGGGAGCAGTCGAAAACGTTCCATCACAGAACCAATCATCATATAAAGATAGTAAGTCTAATTCAGGTAATGTGGCGAACACAATAACCCGATTTTCATCTTGGGGACCAGAATTGTGAAGAAGGAACTGCTCTCCATCGTGGGTATTCTGTAGAGGCAGTGGTAGTTCAAAGCCAGTCAGCATGTTGGCTATGCCATCTTTGGTCTTTTTCGCGTCGAATTCTATTTACAGCTGGCTGATTAGCAGAATAACTAGATAAATGAACAGCTGTTTCTCGGTTCACATCACGTTGGGCTGCGAAAATAGTCTGCCGCGCTGTTACATCGGATACTGCTGCTCGATCTTTAAGTGCTCTTCTGAACTTACGTTTTTCGATGTCAGCTGGATCGGGGAAGTGGCAGTGATCTTTAACAATCTCAACGGAGTCCTCCTTTGTACGCACACGGCCATTGCAACTACTTTGTGCGCAGCGCCAGGAAAGGGAGTTGTCTGCCAGTGCTCTGTGTTTGATATAAGCATACCCTTCAGAAATTAGTAACTCAGAATTTTTGTTTGTAAGTATGATTTCTATCGATAGATAGTGAATTTCGTTTCTATTGAGTGTTGTCAAGTGTTTGCAAATGAAACAGATTGCACAACCTGTTTCTTTTTGCTTGGATTAAAAAAAGAGTCCATTTTTTTAAATTGCGTTAACTTTAATGTTTCGAATATTACTGCTTTTATTGAGTGGCCGCTGCTGTTATCTAGGTTGTTCTAATTTCTCTATACTACTATACTACCTATTGTTATCCGGATTAGTTGGAAGCAAAATGTGTTTAATATGAGATAAAATTACTTATCAGCTTCCAGAACAATTATCGCTTCGATCAAAGGGACTGTTTTTTGGACTATTTTTGGGACTGTTTTGTATGGGACTGTTTTTTGTTCCGACTTTCGATACGAAAGTAACGGATTATTTGTGCTCGGGGTGGTTTTTTTTTCAGACAAATTTCGACTTTTTAACAAGCCATTTTTGACGGAATTTTTTTTATATCATTCAAAAAGTATTGTTGTCCTGAGCTTAAATTTGAAAAAATATTTCACCTGTGATCATTTTTCGTAAAGTTATGGGGGTTCAAAGATTGCCATTTTGGTCAATTTGGGACAATTAACTTGCGATATATTTCGCGCAATTAACGCGTAAGCGGAGATTTAATCCGCCTTAGAAATCGTTCCAAATTGGTTGAAAGAAGCTTATTTGCCATAATTCATTCGTTACAAGGAGTGAAATCTATTCTTTAGTAGTTTATATGGCGTGTGGGGGGATGAATTTCAAAGAAAAAGTTTCAAATTTTGGAATTTTTTTGTTTCATTTTTTTACGTTTAATTTGTTAATGATATTTATGTTATTACTGCTCCATAAACCTTAAAAGGCAGTCGGAACATTCAGGGCTTCGCCCTGATACGAGCAGTCTTGTTTGTACTTTGCTATGTTTTTTCGGACTGTTTTGTATTGTACTGTTTTGTATAGGACTGTTTTGTACAGACACGTTAAAAAACATAAACCTTTCAACGCGCGCATCTACAAAACCAAACTGTATAAAAAGTTGTAACATTTTAATTACGAAAACGGGCTTTGTTGATCTTGAATTGAGCGCAGTGCAGTATATGCCATGCGTTGATGGAAATTTGAATAATTCTGAGTAGTTTTTAAAAAAATTTTTGTTAAAACTTGTAACCCATCTTTTTTCTCTTCAAATAATCATTGCCGTGGTTTTCTCAAAAGTAAAAAATTATGTGCCACAAAAACCTATACTGTGAAAATTTGTTCAAATTTATGTCCACTTTAACCTGAAAGAAAACACCGTTTCACCGAAAAAAATTACATAACTGTCTTCGAAAGTGGGAACAAAAGAACATACATAAAAAATCTATAATGAACACCCCTTTGTCAAAATTTTCCAAAAAAGTGCTTAAAAATGATTTTGTCCTGTTTTTTTAAATTTTTGTCTAGGGCGCAGAAAATTTGGTCATATAAGGATCTTTGTAGAGATTTGGGAGAGCACAGAAAATCAATCTGGTCGACTTAAAAAAAGTTAGTCAGACATTTCCATTTTTTGAAAATCCGACCCTCGAGAAAATTCTAGATCGACCCCTGACAGCAAGCAATTACATTCAAATTTAGAGTTTAAAATTTATTAAATAAAAAAGTGTTTCAGGAAAAAATAACTCATCTGTACTCTCTTCAAAAACCTGTGAGCTATTGACGTCGAATGAGCGTCCACTGTTCCTATTTTTTCACGCATTAAGAACAAGGGAAACTTCGAAGGTTCTTTTTTCATTGAAAACTCTCAGGTCCTACAGCGTTGAAAACCTCGAATCGGAGATAACTGATATGTATGGGTCCAGAACTCTATCTTCGGTTTTGAGAAATGCAATGAGCTCATACATTGAAGATATCGACCTGGTTGTAATGCATATTCTGGTTTTGTTATTCGACAAACAAATTCGAGCTAAAACTATAGTAGATCAAATAAACTCTTGGATCAAATCCATTGAGGGATTTCAGGACCTTGAAGACTTACAAACCTTTGAAATTGATGAATGTGCGCGTTTACTTATCTTGTTACCAACTCTGCAACAATGTGCAAGTAGTGAACAGTATGATATGATTGTAACTAGCCATTTTGGCGGCAAATGGCTTCTACAGCTAGCCATAGAAAGTGAGCGAAATTCAACAGTTTATAATTTGGTGCACTTATTACGAACGAAACATTACAAGCTTCTTGAATGGGAAATGCAGCATCTCGTCAGCACGCACAGATCTTTTTCGAAAATTGCTCCCAAAGATTCTCTTTATTTTTCGAGTTTCATTCAGTTCTACAAAAAAATTGGTTGGCACCCAGAACCTCTGGATGTTAACAAAGGGCTGGTTATTTTTCATTTCATCTTGGAATTCTATTCGTTTTATCACACGACATTAAGAAGTATCGGATCACAATATGAGCCATGCAGCTACAGCCTATTTCCACTGAACATGAAGACGGAAGACAGAAATGCGTATCTGAACTTTCTGAAAAAGTATGGGTGGAACAATGGGTTGCTCTTCGACGCCTGCAAGACTGGAAAACATGAAAATATCAGCTGGTCAATGCGTTTTCTGCTGAACATTTCCAACCCGAGTCTGCTTTGGGAAATTGAACCTCTTTCAATCGGCGAGAACACACTTGTAACTGAGTTAATGTCGTCAGGTAAAACCGACCAGGACATCTACCGAGGATTGTTAGTACTGATGAAAAACGGCTTACCTTTTGGGCTTCTGTGGGACCACTTCAGTTTGGAAAACTTTACCATATCTTGGATATTCCAAAGCCAGATGACAGAATCCGAGAAACAGAATTTCAACCGCGAAATCAAACGATGTTACTCAAGGAAGAATTTATTGAACGAAATTGTCCTCAGTTATGATGCACGTGATGCAATTAACATGTTCAGATTTAAACATTACAACAAAACGACAAATGAAACACTGCCATCAGATAGAAACTTATTGCTTAAAAAGGGTGAAGTACGTTTCCGGTGGTTTGTGGAGTTTTTCACTTGGTACCTGTTCATAAACTTGACAGATATCACTCCCAGAGGAACTAATGAAGGAAATTGTATTCCCATAAATTTCATACTAAAACTCCTGTTTTTAACTGAAACAAACTCTCCTATGATGCTCCGGAGCAAAGATGCTGAAGATTGTTCGGAAAAGATTGAATTGATTGAAAGAAAATTGATTGAAATTTGCCGAACCAAAGACTTTGAAAAGTTTAAAACTATTCCCTGTCAGACTGTCACTTTAGATAGTCTCCATGAGTACACTAGTCAGCTTGGATTAAAACACGGTATTTTAAACGCTGCCTACTCATTAGAGAATATGGATGTTTTATTTAGCTGCATCCGGAAGCTTCTTCAATTTCCCAATATTCTTAATCTTGAGTTTAAACTTTTCAACAAAAGTTACCCAGTCGTTAGACTCGTTGAAACTCGCGGTGAAATTATAGACAAAAAAATTAGGGCTGTGATTGACACTTTGTCTGATTGCAAAGAAGAAAGCCAGCCGATTTCGTTTTTCTTCGACGCAGAAGCGTTAGCAAGATGTGTAGATTATGGTCTCCGTTGTAACAGCTTCAATTTCTTGTATCTGATACTATATCCCGTCTCACATCTACTCCCATTTAAACAGTACATCGGCTATGATCCAGACCTATCTGTAGACGACAAAATACTCTCACACCAACAATGCCTCAGCACTAAATTTTACGATAGAGGGTTACTTTACCGAGCGTGCGAGACACTGCAGCCTGATAATATCCAATGGGCTATTGATTTCCTGGGATCAATAGACAAGTGCTTGGTAGAGGCTGAAATGACCAATTACTACAAAATGGACAAGAATCGCAGTACACATGTTATAAACATGCTGTTATCATTTTGGTATCGTGATCAAGCTACAGAAGAAAATGCAGGTACAAATTTTGACGGGCCAATATGTTCAGGGAAACATATAATTGCTAATTTGTAAGATAATTTTTCATACTTGCAGTTTTATACTCCAAAACTGTTATTTTTCAGGTATAGCAAAACATTTGTTAAAATAACAAGAAAACCTCAAAAGCCTATTTTGTGATATCAAATGCTCTATAATGATGAATCAAAACTACGATCATATTAGCATGAATACAAAAGACCAAGAAAATAGTTTCAAGGTGAATACTATCTTTCCTAGTGATCAAACGGTTTTCTGATTTCATATTTCTGGAAACTATATCTTGAGCGCGTTTTCAAACAATCTAATTCTTCAAGCCATACCAAAACTTAATCTTTTAATTACAGAGATAAATATTCAGGTGTATCAGTCACCCGTCAAAATTTAATACAATCCTCAGAGCAATTGGTGACGTCTATTAAAATTCTTCTCAAAGAAGGTTTCCCTGCAAGTTTGTTACTCACCCAAGTTCAATTCGAAGAATTCGGAAACTGCAATGCGGGATATATTTCGAGGCTGATCCGAAACAAATGGACTCACATTAAAGCTTTCGAGGAACTGATTCAAATAACCAGCTATAAAGGCAGACTCAGTAGTAGTTTTAATCTTCCGCATGTAATTGTAAAATAAATGTACATTAAATATAGTCCAACTACTATGAAAACAATTTCCCAAATTGAGAATAAAAAATTAACTAACTAATCAACACTAGAACTAACACTTATTTGAAATATCTATCTCTAACTATGCCGTCTGATAATGTTTTAACTTAGTTTGATATAATATTTTAATAAAATTCTTCTGATTTTGGCAACTTTTTTCATCGACTGCACTCCTTTTAGCTAATTACTGAAAAAAGACATTGAAAATGATGGTCATTGAAAAGGAGGTCAATTTAAAATTTGTGTAAAACTACATGCTATACAATAACTTGACAAATAGCAAATTTACGAGCTGGGCTGGAGTTTCGCGATCAACTTCAAAAAAACCAAATGTTAAACTTTGTTTTACCCTTGGATATTAATAAGCAAAAAGAAAAAAAAAGATGAACCTATGCAAACCAAAAAGCATGAACAAAATTTTGTTCAACGCTTGATTAATTTGTTCTTAATTTTTAAGTCAAAAAGTTTTGATTTGAAACTGCTGTTGATAACTTAGTAGGACAACAAGTTCTCGCAAGGTTGTCTAACATGCACGCTCACATGTCCTGAAAAAATGGATAAGTCTAATTTACGGGACTCTCATTCAGCGCGTCTGTTTCAGAAAAGTTGGGAGTACTGTCTAATTTGCTAAATTCTAAAATTGCCTCTTTTTCCTTTTCCTGTCAACTCACACTAGCATCAATTTTATGGTCTTACGAGTAGTTTCACAAGGTTAATTATGAAGACCAAATATGTTTGTCACGGCCTAATTGGTCTGCATGACAATTTTCATGTTAATCGGACGATGTGAACAAAAATTTAAATTATAAAAATTTGCAGGTGGAGGGAAGGAAAAAGAGCCCAACATTAAAAACACAGGCAAAGCCGTGTTTCGCACCACTTGGTATACAAAATTGAATACTGATTTGTTTTCGTTTCATTGCTTGAATTGACTTGCAAATAGTGCATACTTTTTATATTCAATTCGTTGCCAAAGCTGGAATCGTTCCACTACAAAAATTGAAGTTTTAAGGCAAGCTCATAGAGCAATAAACTTTACATTTATATTTATTTCATTGCATGAAAAGGTTTGCAGAAAGTTTTCATCAATCAAGGCCCGTTTTATAAACTTCTTCAATATTCCAGTAAGCAAACCGAAAGGACAATTAATGAGAACAAACTGTTGACTTCCTTAAAGGAATCCATTTTCATGGCGTTTTTTATTGTGTATAACATATTCAAAGTAATTTAAAAAGTTAGTGAATGATTATTTCAAAAACACAAAAATTGAAGCATATGTTTGCTGTTTCTCACTTCGAAAATATGAATTTCAACAATTCACAAACAAAACCGCCTAATTCATATGATACTCTATATGATATGATACTCTATGGACAATAAAAGGGATATAAAATCTCCTGAAAAAAATGGAGAATATTTTTGAAAAACAAACTAGAAAAAACCGAAGAACAGCAACCAAGAATTGCATTTTCAACTTTTGCAAACAATTGAACATAGCCAACAGACAAGAAGAAAAGAGTCAATGAACGCAACTTAAAGAAAAAATTGTCAGCTTTCGAATTCGAATAAAAAATAGTTAGCGTTAACGCTTTTTGATTTAGTAGAAAACTTTATGATGGACAATTTTTGCTGAAATTAAATCAATTTGAGAAAACTGGATCAATCACTAAATCTTCTATTTCGCTGAGGAATCTAAAAACAACACCCCTTTTGAAACAAAAAAAGTAGTCGTTTTTTGTCAAGTTTTCTTTTTCGCAGTTGGATAGAGGAGTTTACTTTCATTTGAACAAAGGAATTGAACTGATTTAAACAGAATTCAAAAGTCAAACTGCAAAAAAAAATGAGTCTGAACAAAATTCCTGAAAAAAAGACTTATCCTGAAAAAAAGAATCATCACGACCTATATAAGACTATATAAGAGTGTGACTTCGTTCATCGACTCTTAAAAAAGTTTTGATTTGCTTGTACTTACGCGAATTATTTTATAATAAAATACCGAGCAGTTAATCTAAGGATACTGCTTATAAATTTTTGAACAAAAGTGAGCATAAAATCCGACAAGTTTAGTAAAAAAAAATTGCTCTGAAAATCTAGACATAGGGAAATGAACCGGAGTCTCGGTAAATTTGAATATTGAATTGCAGAGTTAATAATTAGCAGAGAATATTCAAGTAAATTTAAAACATTGCATTACAAGATGTTGAGAAAAGTCACTTTTTAAAAAAAATTCAGCTCAAAAATTGATTTGCAATAAGTTAAAAAACTATACTACAATTTTTTTGCCATTTTCTTGGATGAGACTCATAAACAGTCTTTAGAATCAATGAGCAAACGGTCAATAAACCCAAAAACTTCGGTCAACCCTCGTTAAGACGAAAACAAAACTAGTTAAAAAAATTAAAACTACAAATATTTTTTAATGAAAATGTTCAAAACCTATCCCTCCTGAAGCAGCCAACTATGTTTAAAATATTTCGCCCAAGAAACTACCCAACATAAGTTAACAACGCCGATATAACATAAGCCGAACTCATTGAACAAGACAAAGGTAATTAAAATGATTCAAAATCAGAGTTAGTAAAATTACAAATTACAGAACAGGAGCCCATCTAAAGGTACTTATTTGTTTCTGAATTTGTAGTAGAGATGCAAGATGAAATACGTTATTTCAATTCAAAAGTTCAGCTTCACCCATAAGCTTATTCGATTCTTTTTGAAAAATAAGAATTTTTTCACTGACAAAAAATTTTCATAAAATTTTTAAGGTTAAGCCGTTTACACAGAGAGACTTCCCACAACCTCGTGTCTCGATTAAACTCTTGATATATGATATAAGATTCGACTTTTTTTTCGAAAAAAAAACAAAGTTTTCGAAAACGGACAAGAAATTAAAACAATGACTCTTCTGAGGACCATAAATTTTTTGTAAGAAATATTTCTATGCGACAGCTTTAAGAAGGAAGCTTTTGTTCCTTTTTATATCGATTGAGCCCAAAATCCCACATTTGGGAGGGTACCTTTCGAGGAAAGTCAAAACGATTCAAAAAACGGTTAAAAAATATTTAAAAAACTTGATTTTCCGAGGGCATTAGTTTTTTGTGATAAAAAACTTGGATGTAGCTTATGTACGGCAATTTTTCATAGCGCAGTCTTTTCATTGAACCTAAAATCTGATTAGGGAGGGAAGTTATCAGGAAAATTCATTTCGTTTTACGAAATTGGCCGTAGTCGCTAGGGCAGGGGAGCTTCATTCAAGCAACACGTTAAACCCGTAGAACCCAAAATCTCAAAATTGGGAGGGTCGTTTTTGAGAAAATTCAAAACGTTTAAAAAAAACGGTCAAAAAAATCAAACATTTGAATTTTCCGAGGGCCATAAAAATAATGTGGAAGAAAACATGGGTATCCCCAGTAATGCAGGTAGCATTACTCAGCCTATTTTTGCAATAGATACAGAAATCCCGCAAACCGTTCTCTCCAATGCACCCAAAATCTCAGATAAGGGAGGTTAGTTTTCGAGAAAAGTCAAACAGTTTGAAAAACGGTTAAAAAATCAAAATTTATGTTTTTCCGAAAGCTTTAAGTTTTGTCGTAAAGAATAAGGGCCTTACCGCAAAAGCAGGTGAGCTTCCCTTAACCTGTTTAATCCATTGAACACAAAAATCTCAGATGTTGGAGGGTATTATTCGAGAAATAAAAAAGCCCAAAGAGTGGATCAAAAATCCATTCCCTGAGACGCTTGGGAAAATAATTTTCACTAATTTCAAAAAATAAGTTTTCTCAAAAACTACTGTTTCGATTTGTGAAAAATGGTATCAATGGCAACTTTTTCGAAGGCTGTAGAAAATGGGTTACGGTAAAAAGAGACTAGGCATGTATGCAGGCATACAATGGAGTGGGCGGTCTTGCCATTGATACCATTTTTCACGAATCGAAACAGTAGTTTTTGAGAAAAACTTTATTTTTTTTTGAAATTTGTAAAAAAAAAACGGAAAATCAGCCGACAAAAATAGGAAAACCAAAAGTCCGAAAAACAATCATTCAAAAAAAATATTTTAAAAGTTAATTACTATCTCAAGTGGATTAAGAAGTAGCTTGACTGGAACTTTCAGAAAATTGAGCATGTCTGAGCAGCAGCTGAAATTGAGCAGCAAATGTGAAAGCAAAGTTTTCTACGGGAAAAAATCTAATTCCCGCTTACAAGTCACTTGCTCTCTCAAATGAAATAACTTTTGCATTTGATGAAGTTTTACTTAGCGTGCAACATCCATAAATGATATTCAAAGAAGCGATGTAGCAGGCTTGTAAAAATAATTGAAAACAAAGCCAATCAGAAATAAAACGAAGACGAAGCCTAAAAATCAAAAAATAAAATTTACCGATTTTTACAAAATTTACAAAAAAAAAGCAAGACTGCAACTCTCTCATGGTTATTTGTCCGGAGCATGGCTCAATGCGTACTCGACTCAAGCTTTAGATTTGAAATTCACTACCTATCAGGTCCGCATACTTTTGGAACATAGGCTAGCTCTGCCAATAAGCCTGCAGAGTTTAAGCATCTGTGGCATGTTGGTAGGCCTCGATGGATTCCACGGGTTTGCTGGGAAGAAAAAAGTGGGTAGACATCCTCCACATGCCATGATCAAGGATCTACTGAAGCGAGCCCAGACAACATATAGCTATACTTCACAGTCTGAGCCCATGGGATTCACCAGCACAGATGAAAAAAGTGCTTAAGGGGTGAACTTAGTCCCATGGCACAGGTGGTCATGTCTAGCCTCGAACGCAACACAGGTGGACGAACTAGCCCCTAGTAAAGTCTAACGCTCTGCCGATCAACCAGGAACAGAAGCAGTTATTACGGAAGACTATCCTACCCAATCGAATGGGGCAAAAAAAACAACAGTAATCAGATCTGATTTCAAATGAAATAACTAAATCATTATGTTATTTGCTTTCAGTAATATGCTATTTACAGGTATAATTAACACTTGATCGAGGTATATTTCAATAGAGCCACATATGCACAGAAGGATCAGCGACAAAAAAGATAACTTAGATTTAGTAGAAGCAGCGCAGAGAATGAAC